GGGGTTAGGGTTAGGGGTTAGGATTAGGGTTAGGATTAGGGTTTGGGTTAGGATTAGCGTTTGGATTGGAAGTATACATGATGCGCGACTGACAGTCGCCATTTACTCGCATACTTTACCGACTATATAGTCGTGTGGATATGGTCGTACCGGCTGGGGATTTGCATATGGACTGCTGCTATATCGGTCAGCGGTCATTCATCAAAAAATTCTTAATTATGATTTTTGAAGACGCTTCGAGCCTTCGAAGTTCGAAGCACATGAACAATGATACCGTCGATTGCAACTAAGCAGAAACATGTCATGAGAAAACACGTCCAATTGGCTGTCAAACATGATTTGTTTGGACTTGAAATATTGACAGTCAACTGTCAATATTTCAAATTTAGAAACACATTCATATTGGGCGGGGATTAGCTTGCAAACACTAAATCTGTGATTAAATTCGCCTGAATTAAATTCGACGTATGAAACAGGCCTTATATTTTGCGTTTATAGTGGACAAATTCAGTATTGCAGTTTGCAATGTTTGTACTAACTTTGTTACGTTTTCGCGGGAAAAATAATTGTAAACCGTCAAATGTTTCCAGCAAAATCGTGTAAAGTTTGACTCCAAACATGTTATGTTTCATGTCCAATTAGCCTGCGTAGCTGGCGGTTTTAAGGGTTGGGGTTGAGGTGCAGGCAACAGGAATTAGGGAGGCGAGGCAAACCGCTGGTTACGCAAGCTATGTCCAATTTATAGATCGCGTTTTCTCTGCCTCGTACCCAGGTGCTTTGGTTTGTACACGTGGGACGGCACGCGAGGGAGAAAAACGGAAAATTAATCCACCTGTCCCACGCAAAAGGCCACGCGAGCAATAGAACAACATAGCGCCTGGGTACGAAGCAGGCGTTTTCTCATGACGCGTTTCCGCTTGGTAGCAATCGACGGTAGGTGAGCATAGACGGATTTTCATATTTATTACTGGGGTGGTGCCAGAAATTTTAGGGGGGTGAGCCGTGAGCAGGTGACTGAAGCAACACAAAGTGTCACCAAACCCCAGTAAGGTCTATATTCTAGGGGTGGAGCACTAGAGCCACGAGGGGGAGTCTAGAGAGCAGAAAACAAAGTACCCCAGGAAAAAATTGAAAAAAACTCTATTCAGGGAAGATAATAGAGTTTCAAAACTTTACAATTGCTCCAATAAACCAGTGAATGCAAGCTAGGAGCGATTAGTTTCAGAGTGTTTCTGTTCTAGTGTACTCCTACGTTTATTTTGTATCATCAACACTCTGCACGTTGGAATGGACTATTTAATTATTTATTTATTATGCCGAATATTGGAGGGGGGGTTGAAAATTTTTTTGGAGGGGTGGACATTTTGTTTGGGGGGGGGGGTTATAGCTAATATTGGGGGGGGGTAGCACCCCCCTGCACCCCCCAGAAAATCTGTCTATGTAGGTGAGTGAGTGTAATTTAATCCTTTTATTTATAAATGAATAAGTAGCCATCTATCCTCAATAAAAGTTGGAAACACCAGAATAATTGTTTGAAACTATAAAGGACACAAACTTTTTAAACGTTTTGTATCGGATACTGATTTATTAATTAAATAGGCTAAAATAGCAAACGTATTAATGACAAATGTCCTATATAAAATTGTGTATGAATTTTTAGTTCAAAAATATCTTCTTTACGGCCTACGCTTCATTGTTTATTGAACGAGATGCCCAAAAATATGTTGAAAAGTATATTAACTTACTACAAATTTCTTTGTAAATAACCATTTGTTATATTTGAAATTATTGTTTTCCAAATTTCACCCCGGAGGTAGGGGTATTTGTGACAAAATTTTGCCCAAACCCACAGGCATTAGTGTCCTTTTGTCAAGGCTGTTTTGACAAATCCCCGGGGTGGCCCGGGGGTCGACCCCCCGGGAAAGCCGCTGATACCTGCATAATCAACACAAGTGGAAATTGGGAAAATGAGAAATTGTGTGGAAATTGTGTTTTCACCAGTTTTCACACAATTTTTCACAAAAAAATATAAAGAAAGAAATTTTCTAACGTTTCCATGTTGACATTGAGTTATATCAACATGGCTCTTCTGAAGCCAATCAGCTTTCAGTATTTACAAATCCTATATTATAATGTACCAGTGATGTTTTCCAGGGGGAACGCAGGGGGAACGCCGTCCTCCCACCTTTTTTGCCAGGGGAATGGTACCCCCCTGCCAAAATCAAACATGGGGGAATGCCGTTCCCCCTGGCAGGGATTAAATATGAGTGAAGTTCACTAGTGAACGCCGTTCAGCACCGTTCAGATAATATTGGCTATCTCTTGTTCTACATATGTGTTATTTTTGGCAATAATTGCTCAGCATCCTATGTGGAAATAATTCAGAACATAATTTCGTCGGTCACTATTTCAATCTCTGTGAAACTTGATATACTTGCAGAAAATTCTAGCAGACTAGCACAAGCCAAAAAAATACTAGAGTCTGATAATTGACATTTCCCGGGGAAATTTAGAAGACAAAAGCGTATGCATGGGTAATGGGGAAATACGGGATTTACATTCCCTCTCAGAACAATGAAAAGCGAGGCTACCATGTAATTATTATAAAAGAAGATTTACCAACCCTGAGGCTATGTTGGGCTATGCTGCAACTGTACTAGGCCGATGGAAATGAAGGTATCGGATTACCGTGGTGAGGGCTATTTCAGATACCTTGAAGCAGATCAGTCCCAGTACTTTCATTAATTTCACACAGCAATTATCAGGCAGGCTTACACTCGCAGGCAAGCAATAGACAACTTGCATGTCAATCTCGTTCCCCGAGCATGCCCGCTCGCAGGTTAAGGGTGGGCATAGCTCTGGAGAAATCGAATTGATTCAGGCCTGTGATTGGCTAACGGCAGACAGTACGTTGGATTTCCAACGTGAGTTCTACGCATGCTTGACAATTGTTGGAAAATATAAACAAAGTATTTGGAATTTCTCGTCGAAAATTTGCTACTTTTTTACACTGAAATGGATTGAAAACAACTAAAAATTATGAGGGAATATGTGCGAAAGCTTCGGATTGATAGGGATACAACTACCTGAAAAATACAAGGAGAACTTCGACGTTTCGAGCGAAGGCGCTTCGACTTCAATGTGCTGTTTAGTGTTTGTATACATCGTACTTGCCTTTTATATACTGTCATACCTAACACTACGTATACCATAAATTCTGACAGGAGAGTTAAATGTAAATTTTAAAGCATAAAAATATATAATACTTATTATCGAGGAGATTATATTTATCAGCAAAGGTCAAGTACGATGTATACAAACACTAACAGTACAGATCGAAGCGCCTTCGATCGAAACGTCGAAGTTCTCCTTGTATTTTTCAGGTAGTTGTATCCCTATCCAACCGAAGCTTTCGTACATATTTCCCCCAGAATTTTTAGTTGTTTTCAATTCGATTTCAGTGTAAAATGTATCAAATTTTCGACGCGAAATTTTAAATACTTTATTTATATTTTGCAACATTGCCGAGCATGCGTAGAACTCACGTTGGAAATTCAACGTGAACAATTCGATTTCTCCAGAGCTATGCCCACCCTTAACCTGCGAACGGGCATGCTCGGGGAACGAGATTGGACTCGACCACTGGCGATATATAGCCAAGACTAATTACTTTCTGGAAGGTCCTATAATGACGTCAAACACGGAAATCAAATTATTTATGCATTTCCCACACGACAATGTAAGTCGTTGGCGAAAAACAGTTGTATATTTGTATTGCGCGAATTATCGCTAAAAATTACATGAATTTGGGACGTCGACGACATGCATTTACGCCTGTATTCTAAAAGCTAATTCACGCTCAAAGAGTGGAGGTTCAATCTGAGCTTCTCTTGACTGTTAGTGGTAACTTAGTGCTGTTTTTGAAGTTTGAACTGTTGGAGGGCGAGTAGTCACACAATAAGGTACGACACTGACCTTCCAGCTATTCAAAAACAGCACTGTACTCAAGGGAAGCTCAGATTGAACCTCCACTCTTCGAGTGTGAGTGTAATAAAGTGTGAGTGAGCTTTTAGAATACAGGCGTATGTCTTAAAAGAACACAAACGTTTGCTTAATAGGGTGAAGTTTTTCGGAATTATGTATCTTGTGATTGCGGACACAGGTCGGTCCATTTACACCCTAGGCTAGCACATAGGGGGCATTCGCGTCAAAATATAAATGTTACTAAATAAACATATTGAAGTAAATATTGACAGAAAGATAAAACCATTTTCCGCGTTTGATGTCATCATAAGAAACGTCTACGTGACTACGTTGAATTATGTGTTGTGACTTCACTTGCGGCAAGGGCTGAGTATATTATATGAACAGTTCAAGATTATGTCACAAAACATTTTCATTTTAGGTTGGTATTAATATTAGCCTACACATATATTGTAATTTTCGTATTATAATCATGCCCGACATGCCGTACAGCCAGGAGCTTGTATATTTGATACAAAACCTAATCATGATATAGATTTTAAGATCGTTTTTCAGTTTTCACCCCACCAAACTGATCAATTATGTCTTAAAAGAACACAAACGTTTGCTTAATAGGGTGACGTTTTTCAGAATTATGTGTTTTGTAATTGCGGACATAGATAGCCCATAACCGTGGTCTACACAGTAGGCTAGGACACGGGGCATTCGCGTCAAAATATAAATATATACTAAATAAACATATTAAAGTAAATATTGACAGAAAGGTAAAACCATTATTTCATTAAGTATTCGGAAGGGAGGAACTTTGTTTCCTGTTAAATTCCACAATATAATGATCTTTGGATGTATTTTGGAAACCTGGAATATATATATCAGCTTATAAACTAATCAGTGATATCTATATATCACATTTTTAAAATATTTCATACAACTTGTTTTCGTTTGTCTGGGCACTGCGGGTATTCACTCGGAATCATTTTGACAGATTGATATCTATATTAATTTATCTTCAAATTCTCAAACAATACAAGCCTTTACATTGCTTATCGCATATACTCATTAACTGGTCGATTTCGGATCCTTCATGCATAAAATGATATACGTAATCTAACGACACATCGTGGTGACAATTTTCAGAATGTCTCCTAGGGTTGAGCGTTTCAATGTCAACTATGAGCGTGCGCACATTCACACCGCCAATTTCCTCCAACCTGTAGATCTGTCAGCACGTTCTCAAATGGTTGCGCTTCACGAGATCATATCAATGAGTCAATAGAAAAAACCGCGTTTTCCGTTCATGTTGACATTGTATTGTTTGACTTCGAAGACGCACTCTCCTCGTGCTTGTTTATACGGAGGAATAAATTGCGCTGAAGCTGGCCAGCAGTCGCGTGAAACGCATCCACGGTTTTAATATCACAGAGAATTGCGCACGTACTGAGTCGAACCTAGACGTGAAAATACAACGATGTCGCCTCTCGGTTGGCGTAATTCGTTCGTGCTTCTTTTCCTAATGGTTCATATCGACGCGGCAAGAATATCAACTGCTCCTTTGCCCACAGAAAAGATGGCTGACCCGCATTCGTTTCCTGAATTCGAAAGCGTAGAAAGCGTAGAACAGCCAAGCACCAACTTCACAGGCACATTCAACAGCGATTATACCGTTCACGACGAAGGTGATTCTAAATTAAACCCCGACGATCAGAAACTCTACATGTCGTGGGAAGAAGCTTCGCCCAGCACTGGAAGACGGGTTGATTTTTCTGTTATCAGCTGTCGTGTGTCGCTATTTATTCCGCAAAGCCTGGACCTACCCGACCTGACTACTTGGGAAATTTCCTTGCCCAAAAATGCAAGCACGAACAGCAGAATTCGGAGTAAAAGAAAAATATTTTACAGAGACAACCGACGTCCCATTTCTTTAAGCACATATGGTCATCGTTTTCCAATCGCCAGCGTGGTAAAATTGAGTACTGGTTGTACAGGCACCCTTGTCTCTCCCAAACACGTCCTGACTGCAGCCCATTGTATACATGATCAATCTGATTATGTCGCCGGATTCAGTACTCTAAAGGTAGCCCTTCTCCCAAATTTGAGAGTGAGCAAAAAATTTCAATGGATTCGAGTGAACGCGACATTTCTACCTAACGGCTGGTTGATGGGAAACGCAAAGATTGCATCGAAATTTGATTATGCTTTGTTGGAACTCGAAGAAACACACAAGAAGCCGTTCTTTGAACTGGCTATCAGCGAAGGAAAATCAAACGCAATCATCCATTTTACTGCGTATGAAGATGACAAGCCTGCTAATACACTATGGTACAGGTATGTATGTTATGACTGTTTTCTTGTTTGTTTAATTTTTCACCGTATTCATTTACTGTGACCGGTTTTATGAAGGTCAGATAGGGCACGGGATACTCTCGAATAGGGATTTTTCAATCTTCGTAGAATTGTCTGTAAAGCTGTAAAACTACCGATATAGACCCACAATAATATTTCGATTTTAAAAACTGAGCTTTTTATGTGGATTAACAAGTCAAATCAACAGTCAATTTAGAAAGTGTGAAAATCATATTACAGAATACAGTACAATATTGTACAGTGCGGTGCAGTACAATACAGTACTAGTAATACTGGATGAATGAATGATATTTGTTGGAAAAAAACATAAAAATTAATAAACTGTAAATTTTGTATTTACTCGCTACAATTTTATGGTGTCCATCCAGTTTCTTATGAGATCAATTTCCTATTAATATTAAAACTAATTTATGCGTGCAGGGGGTGATGGGAAGTAAGGTATCATATTGCTGATTATGCTGAGAAAGTAAAAGTGGCGGCCGTGTAAACACGGAGTGATAGCTTATTCTTGTAAATATTGAAATATTTCGGCAGTTTTTATTGAACATTTTCAGCATAATCAGCAATATGATACCTTACTTCCCATCACCCCCTGCGCGCATAAATTAAAAGCTAGAATTGCCTATTCGAGAGACCGTCATGGTTTCCTCAGGGTTTTTTTCATTAATTATAATAGAATATGGTAAAAACCGTACAATAGGCCATAGTATTGTATAATAAAAGTATAGTAAACTAGCTTACAACTGATTACAACATTGATTTGTCCAGGGCATGCAGAATAAGAGTAACAGATGATCATGTCTTGTATCACTATTGTGACGCCCAGCCTGGCTCGTCCGGCGCTGGTGTCTACACATGGACACGTGTTAACGGTGAATGGAACCGACGGTTGATTGGCGTGTTTAGTGGATACCGTTGGAAATCCTTCAAGGAATGGTGGAAAAAAGATGCAGATTATAACGCAGCCATTCGTCTCAACACTCTGAAGTATACACAGATCTGTGGCTGGATGGGAAAATACGCTGCAAAATCATGCAAGCAGCTGAGGAACACGTCAACTTGGGGCTAGGAAATAAACATATTTCAATTTCGTATAATGTTTTTTTATATAAGACTATGTCTTTACAAAGAAGTGCGATAATCTTTTCTTGTCAGAGCATTTTATCAATAAGACATTTACATTCATATCGTAATTTTCTACATATAATGGTCAGTATTACTCTTGTTATATTCATCTTTGAACAAATATAATGTTTGGTTTAAGAAAATTATTTGTTTTTCTTCAGTTCGGTTTGCGGTTTTGTTATAAATATTACTGCTCTATTTTGAAACACAGTTACCTAAAATAGCCTATTGCCTACCCTTGGCCGCGTCCGGATTTGCCAAAAATATTCTTACAGCAGTAGGTTAATTTAGAAAAAAAAGCAATTTCAAAATAAAATAAAAAAATTTCATGTCATAGTATCGTTTCATATGTCATAGTAATCTGAAACATCGCGATAAGGCTATAGACGAGCCCTCAGCGCCTTGACAAACTCGAGGTTTTAAAATCACTTTTATAAGCGATTTCCACTTTCCACTGAGTGCACGATAACTTCTTAAACGGATCAGTGATTTGAAGAGGAATTTATCTCGAATTCTGATCGCGTGCTTGAGCTATCAATTGACCATCGGTCAACAATGGCAACAGCAAACAGACTCGTGATGAAAGACAAAATAAGCTGGTATCTCTGACCGCCATTTTTATTAGTGAAAGCCAAAATTAATAGGCATCTCGCGGTACTGCGTTTAAATTTCACCAAAAACCTGGTTCCATTGTTTGGTCGTGAGGGACGCTACTGTGTCAAGGATGAGGGACGCTAGTGTGTCAAGGGTGAGGGACGTTAGTGTATCTGACTATCGATGGTGTGTGAAAATATCTCTGCAATCAATATATAAAGACTTATTTACATTACATACATCACGCAAACGATAATATAGATCTGCGAAGATATAGATCTAGGCTATTTCACATTGTTCACAATGCAAGAGACTTTTATACAAGACTCCTTTCCAGCAGATGTGTATGTGCCCATATACTGCCATAGCTCCATGGCCAATCTAAATTTCTCAAAATATGCCCGCTTTAAAAATTTTAATTTGAAACAAGAATTCTGGAGCTACAGTACAGGTCAACTTCAAAACCAAGCATGCAGTGGGTAGAACTAGTGGAGCTAGCTATCATCTATTAAACCTCGTTCAAAAGGCTATCAATCTAAAAATAGGCTGAAAATAAGCCTAAAATATAGCTGTTGAGCCAAATTCGAAAAGCTATTGGGGCAGGATCTGCTGGGATCCATACATCCTCGTGCCCAGGCTACCAGTTTTGGTTCGCTTGATGCTTATCTCCATTCTGAATATCTGAAAAATTGGCTACCTCCACAAAAACTACATGAAATCTACAGACACATTATGTGGAAAACATCGCGTTTATATTTATTTAGCAAAACTTTTTGATCCGTAAACCCTGATTCCCTACAGTGCAAATAATCCAGGAGTGTGAATCGAAAGCCAAGGGCCGAAAGCTTTACCAAATTAAAAGCATAGACGTGTTTTCCATAAAAAAATATTGTTATCGCCATGCAGTAAACATTGACAAGGAAGATAGCATAGTTTAAGTATTTAGGCTTTTCATTAGCGGAGAAATAGACAACAAACTGTCATCTATTATTAATTCCGACTCGCACAAGTTAGCGGTGTCACAGGTTGCGGTTAGAAAAAACATGTACTTGTTTTTAAAAAAAGACACGGAATATATTTTGGGTTCGTCATACGCAGGATCTTAGATCAGCACATCGCTCAAATGAGGCGCCTTGGGATGGTTTTAAGACGAAGAATTTTTCAGCTCATTGCGGGAGCTTTAGTGCTTGTATTTTATGTCCAATTTCAGCTTTTGTCCTACACAGATAGAAGATTATTTCTTAAGAAGATCAAGTTAGCGTTACCTTACTTCTCTGACAGTTCTACGACAGGTAAACTTGACAAACGTTGCTCGCATTATACAACAAATGCAGCTTTACACGGCCTGACATTGCTGTCATGGAGAAGTACGTATATCACAGATCTAAACTCTTTCAAAGACTATCCATTATTTCCAAAACATCCAGCTTCGGTACAATTTAACATGAAAGCTTCGCTACGTCTTCTACAGCCTGTCTCGACAGGAGGTTGGCTATTCGGCTTGTTATTCGTACCTGAAACGGGAGATTATCGTTTCGCGCTATCCACAAGCGGGGAGGCTGAACTAAAGTTAAGCAAAACTTCAGAACCTGAAGGAACTCGAGTTATAGCAAGCTTGGCCTTCTCAGAGAGACAACCTAAACCAGGAGAATATAGAAAATACTCTGCACAAACGTCGGTGGCTGTGTTTCTTCGGAAATGCAAGGCATACTACGTGGAGGTATTATTCCATACACACACCAAATACAGTCATATTGAACTCGCATGGGAAACGACAACATCTTTAAAATACGAAGTCATCCCTGGTCGTTACCTCTCACCGTACATAGGTCCACAGGATTTCGCGCACAGCGGAGAAAACTTACTTATTTTCGAAGATAACATTAAGATGGGCTCGCTATTTGGGTACGTCGCACGACAGAAACATTCCATTGAAAATGAGAATATGGATCAATGGAGTAGACTCCCGTACATGTTATCAACTCATGCTCGAAATTTGCCAAAATGCTCGGAGAATTTCAAGGGTTATGCGGCAAGTTCTAGGCAGGTGATACCTAAAGTGAATAGCAAGTCCACCGAGAAATTTGTTTACGACTACACTGGGCGCTTGGTGAAAGGTAGTAATGGGTAAGCATTGCGAACATTGACATTTAGTTCTGTTATTTTATCAAGTTTACTGAATAAGCCTGGTTCAAATGAGGATGAAATCATACGATCTTGGCGGAAAGCTGTTTTTATTATTGCTTTCCCATAATCATGTATATTTAAGTTAAGAAAACTTACTTGCAACAATTATTTTGTCAATCTCAGAAATGTCCCCTGTAACAATTCTTGTTTGATCGGGGTTTTAATTTGTTTAGCTTTCATATAAAAAGATCAGATCACTTGTTTAATTAAGGTTGTTTTCGTTGTGTAGGAGTGAATCATAAAAATATTTTTACCTCAGTTCGTCATCTCACGTTCAAACGCGACAGGATGAATTCGGAAACGGATTCAAATTCTCCCGATTTCCTCACGTGGGACGTTAGGACGTATGAAACCATCAGAAATTGAGTACAGCTATCCGTACGAATTCCCGTGTGAACAAAATAATTGAACCGGGAATGCTTTCCCAAGAAATTCTTGAATATTTATAGACCTTAAACTAAAAGTTTCCTTGCGTTAACTTTAGAGTCGCAAAAGTATTCAACCTCCCTCCGGGTAAAATTTTTCCTGTCAATGGTTTTAATAATTACCTGAAAATCAGCTTAACGGTGTTGTTTTCCTTTCTGTTTTCATCATGACTGTAGGAATATGCAAATGCTAAATTAACGTGCGTATTCCATTTGTGTGTAGAAAATACACGTTCCGTGGAATCCATCACGCGGAGGAAAAGCGCCTGGGCGAGACAGGCACAAGATATCTCATGAACATAGAATTTCAGGACAACATTATGGAAACAAGAATCAGAGTTTCGGAATACATGTTTTATGAAAACCAAAAAAGTAATTTGTGTTTTGTTGATGATTTCAAATGGAAACGAGACGCGATGGTTACGATCATTGCTGTGATCCCAAACATGGAAACGTGGTCGCATTATTTTATGGATCATTTATCAGGTGTGAAGGGGAAAATAAACTAAATGAATTAGAATAGGATGCAATGGAATAGAACGGAATAGAATAGGATGCAATGGAATAGAATGCAATGGAATAGAATAGGATGCAATGGGATAGAATGAATTAGAATAGGATACAATGGAATATAATGTTTTAGAATAGGATGCAATGTGAAAGAATGGCATAGAATAGGATGCAATAGAATATAATGGAATAGAACTGGATAGAAAAGAATGAATTGACATAGAATGGAATAATATGGGATAGAATGGAATGGAAAAGAGTTAAATAGAATAGAATCGAACATAATGAAGTGGAATAGTATGGAATCGACCAGTCACGTTGGTGCCAGTGTAGGTAAGGACGATAGCACTAGACAGTTTGGGTGTGAAGGACATACAACCACCTGAAAAAAATATAAGAAGAACCTCGACGTTTAGAGCAGTCCGTGCCAGTGTAGGTAGAAACGAAACAGACAGCTGAGATGTGAAAGTATGGATTTAGTATAAAGCTTGGAATGAAACAGAATAGAAAAGAACAAAATAGGACGGAATAGAATATTGAAGCTTTGTTTATACATAGGAATTAGAGTACCTGACAAACTTCTTCATTATGTTACAGCTATGACAAGCAAACTTCAAGACGCAAGATTCAGCGTGATTATAGCAGCATCACAGGGTCTCAAGCAGTATTTTCAAACTATAGTAACAGAGAACACGCTTGCCTGGCATTCACATGTCACGCTACTGCTCATGAATGCAAAAGAAATACAAAATATGGAAGTTATAATGAAGGCATGTCTTGCACGAATTACTGTACCTAACACGATAATCTTCTTCACGGACATTCGAGTGCAATTACCGTTGCAAGTCTTGGAACATGTTAGAAAGGTGAGGGTGATGGAGGCAAGGCCGTTGGAAGTAAATCAATATTGGGGAAGAGGGGCTCAAGAATAAATCTGAATTGCTTTCGCACTTTTCTAATTCTTTTGTGTGTTTTACTTATACAAATCGAAATTATTGGGGGGGGGGGGGCTCAAACCTCCCAATCTCCCGACTCCCGCTTCCGATGGCCTTGGGAGGCGTAATATACTCAAGGTCCATTTTCACTCAGGAAAATTTTCCGCAGAAAGAAAATTTTGTAAAATGTGATTTGGCCGACACAAATTTTCCGTCGGAAAAAAATTTTGAAGTTGAAAATTTTGAACATTTTCTGTCCGTGGAAATTTTTCTTGAGTGGAAATGGGCCTTTAGCATAACAATAGTGTCATTCAGTTAAGCCCCGGTCAAACGAGAAATACGTAATATTTCAAATTCGACTATGCGGACTGGACTAGATTTCAACTGTCCGCGCAATTTGATCAAGTCCCAGGTGAAGCCGAGGACTTGAAATCAACATGCGAGGACTTGAAATCTAGTCCAGTCCGAATGGGAGGATTTGAAATGACAT